GAGGACATGATTAAAAAAAACTTTGATGATTATTTTTAGCTTTGAATGGCTTGTTAAAAAAACCTCTTGTTGTTCTTCATCAACTGGCTGTGACTTGAAAAAAACACTACTTGTCTTTGTCTTTTTCATCTTTCCACCAAAAAAAACTTTAGTTGATTCCATAGGAGATAGTGACATTGGCAAAAAAATAGGGACAAATGATTCAATTGGCTGCAATATAAACAAAAAAATTCAATTACAAATCTCTGAGCAAAGAAAAACMCATAAAAAAATTCATGCTTTTATCAGGATCCCTGCTACATTTTCAAAAAAAAATTCCAGGACTTTTTAAGTACAAAAATGTGATTCTTTCAAGAATCTGTAAGTCCCTAAAATACGTCTGGAATGTTAAAAGTATTTTGTGCCTTCAATTGTTTGGTGAAAATAAGACAAGAAAAAAAACATTGTTTAAGCAAGATGACAATTTCAAGGAAGAAAAAAAATCTTATGGTTATTAGTGAAGAATACATGTATTGTAAAAAAAATGGCTTTAATGCAATTGTTTACATCACTACAAACAAAAAAAATGTATTTAAGGTGCTCACGGTTCTTTTCAAATGACAAAAAAAATCAAAAAACAAATAACACTGACAACTAACACAAAAAAAAAACTAATTTACCTTCAGAGTGCTTTTACTTGAATTTTAAAAAAAAAAAATACAATGATTAGATTATAATTTGAACAGCACAGAAATAATTATAAAACTAGTCATATCTAATGTGTAGTGAAAAAAAAATAGTTAGAACAAACATTTTGATTTTTATATATATGAAAAAAATAATGGTTAAACTACTTTAGTTTCAACTCTAAGTAAAAAAAAATAAGACCATACATAAGTCAAGACTTTAAGCCCTAAAAAAAACCTTATACACCGAGTCCAAAAGGTCACTTCTTGATAAAAAAAAACCAGTCAAAATACTGTAAAACGTCACAGCTGTAAAAAAAAATAGACTAATGTATCGCCATCCACTGGTATGTTTGAAAAAAATGATTGACCAGTCTATAGCTTGTTGAATGACATAAAAAAAAACTTGACTACTCATATAGCAATGCAAACGACAGCCAAAAAAAAAGTGTTTATCTATGGTTAATGACTACACTGTCTTTAAAAAAAGTTTTCATCAGAAAATTTTTATTTTAGCAGTCAAAAAAAAAATCTTATGAAATAAATATTCACTGCATATTATTGTCAAAAAAATGTGAGTAGAAATGATAGAGAATCGTTTCCATGGAA